TGATCGATGATGTAGAGTGTGCCTAAGGAGAGTCACATGGAGAGAAAACATTCTCTCAGGCTTTCACAGAGAGCACATTGGCCAAGCAATGGCCGTGATTCATCCACATGGCTGACACTGACAAAGCATCTACAATCTGAGGTACAGGGTCTCAGGATAAATCCTGAGGGGATTTGACTGATCTTATCATATCCAATAGCTACAATTCTTGTTACATAGGTCTTGCTTTATCTTGGTCTTAACCATTCAGCAGAAAAGTATAAAAACAAAGTACAGGAAATAAAAAGCCATGCGGTTATATTGAGCTGTAGGGGACTCAGGTCAACAACTTCTGACATTGCCAGGCAAGTATGTGGAAGACCCAATACTATTATGGAATACTGGACTATTTTGGAATATTTTGCTGAGTTCACACACCTATAATATTTAAATGATGGAACTAAACAAAAAAAAAAAGGGGATATAGATGAATGATCATTTTGTATCTGTGTATCCAAAATGGTTAGGCTAAATATATAGCTGCATTCTCTTAATTCAAGGAATAGAGGGATTTGTTCTAATAGTGTTTGTAAATAGGATATCATGTCTGCATCTTTTATAACAAATAATCACTAGGAAGTGTGCAATGTGTTAATTATTGGAACTGTCCTACCAATTTGATTTGAAACTGTCCCACTGCCATTTATTTCTCAATAAAATTATGGAAAAAAAATAAAAAAAGAACAAAAAGATGTTAACAGATGCAGCTTATATTCTCTCACTCCTGCTTTGTTGCTGTACTCTTTACTCTAGCTTTCCTCATTTGCTTTAGTGTGTGTGTGTGTGTGTGCGCGCGCGCGCGCGTTGATTTAAGCCTCCTTAAATCAACACTTGAAACAAAGTGAAACAGAGGTAGATAAATCTCTAAATTGAACTGAAGTGAAGAAAACATCATTATAACTAAACTGAAAAAACACAACTGTGCTTAAAGCAGCATGGTTCTCATCTGTATTAAGAGGAAAGTTGTACAGAAATCAATGAAGGAAGCAATAACAAAAAACATGACTGAGTGGAAGGGGGTCCCCACAGCAGAAATTCAGAAACCCAAACTGCAACACACACTGCAGAGTGCTGTGTGCACAACCGATGTTCTGATGCCCATCCTTTTAACATGCTCATGATGAGCCCGCACTTTCTAAAACTGGTTCCTACATTAAGTAGATTATAGCACCCTCAATGGTTTCAGAAAACCTCTAAAAAAAACCATAACGTTCTGGTGGAGTCATCACTTACAGACTGAGGAATATTCATCTGAACCACTTGAAACCAAAGGATTGCTGATTTTTTTCAGATTTTGGAACCATTGCACATGCACAATGAGAAATGGGGGTATGCTTGGACATGAAGCCCATTTATATATCTTTTTTTTCCATAATTTTATTGAGAAACAAATAGCAATGAGACAGTTTCAAACCAAACTGGTAGGACAGTTTCAATAATTAACACATTGCATACATTCCTCCCAGTGGTTAATTGCTGTACAAGATGCGGACATGATATCCTATTTACAAACACCATTTGAACAAATCCCTCTATTCATTAAGAGAATGTAACTATATATCTATCCTAACCATTTTGAATACACAGATACAAAATGGACATTCATCTGTATCCCCTTTTTTGTTAAGTTCCGTTATTTGAATATCATAGGTGTGTAAACTCAGCAAAATATTCTAAAAAGAGTCCAGTAGTCCATAATAGTATTGGGTCTTCCACTTCATTGGCCCATTTATATATCTTATACCACAGGTATGAGGGTAATTTTATATGATAGCTCTGATACTTTTGTGCAAGAAAGTTTCGTGGTACAGGATGCTTCACTTGTGCCTTCCTGTCAGAGTTCAAAATGTTTCTAATTTTAAATCTTTTGAGATTTCAGACTTATGCTGCACTAGAAGGGACAGTGAACTTACTGGGTAGTGTAAAGTTTGCCCACAGGCAAAATCAAGCTTTTAAAGTCATGTTAAACTGCTTACCTAATGTCTTCATCTGTGACAATGAAAGCTTTGCAGAGGGGTTGAGATGTGTTAAGCCACACAGCAGGGTTCTTTTCCACAGCAGCGGAGACTTGTCCTGTGATTGGTGCAGAGCTTGTGTGCAAAGCACTGGCAACAGCAGATAAAAGGGTCTCGTCGTTGCTACCTGGACCAACTCCTGCAGTTAAAAAAAGCACTACTTAAAGGAAAATGTTAAATGTGCTGAGCAAGACTAAGATTCACATGAGTTACAATAAGCAGTATTGTTGTGTTCAACTGACATCTACTTAAAATTATGCTAAGCCAAATCAGCAAAAGACAATGTAATATCCACTTAATAGATATTACACAACAGAAAATTAACATAAATCATCACAAAAGCTAAACATTTTAGTAAAACTTTAAAATACATTTTCACAAGCTTAAACTGTTGAAAAACTGGCTACATGTCCTCATGCAAGTTCAATTATTTAAACAGCATAAGTCCTTTATAAAGGTGCAGTACTTATGCATCCCTATTAATAGCTTCTCTTGATGACTTTAACATACATATCCAGCAATTTCCAGTGTTTTATACTCTTTGCTTCTCTTTGGAATAGTTTCTCTTGGTGACTTTTAAAATTATTTCTACTACTATTTCAATGCTTATCTTCTTTGTTTAGGAATTCAGTCCAAACATGTTGCACCTGCAGCTTTAACAACTTTTTCAAATGCCTAATAAAATACCAGGATAGCAGAATAACTACACACCCTGACTACGTGCAGGAGATACCGCAGCAAAATTTAAATGAATCGCTTATAAAGTCCTAAACTTGTTTAGTTAAAGCAATAATTCCTAAGAATATAAAAGCATAAGAATTTAACTGTGAAATATGAGCATTTTTGAGTAATCTACAATATATCAAGATTTAGAAGCTGAAGTTCCAATACTTGAAAAACAATGCTTCTTTATGACTCGAATTTACCACATGATTGACAGGTAGACTGGTAACTGAGTTCTCCACCCTAGATCCCACCAGTGGCTATTGCTGAGCCAAAGTGCATGTTCCCAGTGCTACTGAAGACAGCAGTTTGTGGAAGGATGGGCAGAAGAAAAGCAGTTAGTTGCTTTTTCAGTAAGAAAATAAGATAAAGAACAATTGTTGGAGCTAGATGCTGCTCTAAGCAGGAAGTTTGGGAGATCCTGATTATTGGCACTCAGTGCTAAAAACAACATATGGGTTAAATCGATAGCAAACCTAATCTAGAGCCAAAATATTTACAGAGAAAAAAAAAAAAAATCTCAGGTCATATACCACATGGAAGAATTGCTACAACATACAAGTTTCCCTTGCTTATTTGCCCTGAGTTTACTACAACACAACAGGAATGCCAACCAGCAAGCCATGTGACTCTACCAAAGTAAAGACCTGGGATCAATCTAAATCCATAGCACCTAACAGTGCCTTGTATCATTATAGAGCCAACTAAGGCACTTGATATATATCTGCTCAACTAAACTTAGATAATACCTTGAAGACCTTTAGGTAGTTCCATGGTTTTTATAATTTGTTCTGTTACATCTGATGCACTAAGTCCTTGTAGCCTCTTCTCCCAGAAAAGCTGTAAGGCAAAATATCACTGTTAATAGATGCATTCTTGAGACAAGAAAGTAGCGCATCGATGCTGTTGAATAATGAAATTTAAATCATTTCAATAGCTTCCTATAATTTTGTCAGTTTTTCCTTATAACAAGCTAAATGATATTCCAAACACAAATTATTTCAAAACATCATAACTCTTTCCACTGACATTACTCAAAAATGTTTTGTCATTTTATGTAATCTACTTAGTCATTGTATTATAAGTTGTTATATGCTACATACTACATAATAGTTCTTTATAAGATACTCAAATACAATTTGACTTTTTAAGAATTCATTTGTAATGAAATTTTCATGTTGAAATTTATCAGAAAAAAAGAAAAAAAAATATTTAGTAGCCCCTTTATCCAGTATCAGTAGGGAAAGACCACATGGGTGAGTTTTTTTTAAGATACTGATTTTAGCCCTTCAACATATTTTAAAGAGAAAAAAGAGCCATGTTTTCTAAAACATCTTAGGACATCCTTAGTTTTTAAACTGGATATCATGGTTATCAGGGATTCCTGGTTATGAGGAACCTGGATCACTGATCTGGGCAAAAGTAAGCATAATAAAAGGAGCCTCATGCTTTAGGGGGCTACTGAGGTACGCAAGTGCTTATTCAAACCATTTTGGCTCCAATAGTCATGCTTTTCTATGGTACACTAATTTTATACTTTAGTCTTTCTCCTCTTTAGCTTTCACCAATTTTCACTCATCCATCAGCCATACATGTATTAAGCTCCTACTATATGCTATACCTGTCCCATGGATGTAGAAGTGGAGAAGGTAGACACTGTCCCTGTACTCAAGCTTTATTTCTTTTTGAACTTGCTTCAGTTTCATGTTTATTGACAAAGATTTCCAGGACAAGATTATACAGGTCTTTCTGTCTCTAATCCTAAATGCCAGGATGCTCACAGTTGGTACTGCAGAAACATTGTATGACCAACTGAAAAGGGAGCCACTGGACTCAGCATGAGGATGAGACAGACGTGAAAACCAGACCAAAAGCCTAGATTGGGACCCACATAATGTGTGGCCCTGAACATGTTCTACAAATTTTTCAGATGTTCCAATGTGTTCTTCTATAAGTAAGGGAACAATGACTATCCCATCAGATTACTGTGAGGATTAAATAAGGCAACCTATGTAAAGCGCCTCTCATATAGTAGGCAAAAGTTCACTGAATTTACTTTTAGCAAATATAGTCTATTCTCATAGCTCCTTGGGTTTATGTTCTGACATCTGGACATAAGTAGAATATCACAAAATTGCCTTCCAGACAAATGAAGAGATGGATAACTATGGCAAAAGAGTGATACTTTAATAGTGATAACTTTAATACTAACACGGAGAACCTATATCAGAATGCTTGACTGTCCTCCAAAGACTGTGGTATACAGAAACATCTCCTCTACCCCCCTTCAAATTCTATCCCCACATATCAGTAGAGTATGACCAATATAAACAGGTCAACAAGCTGGCGTGAGTATATAAATCATGGTGTGTATAAAGATGTTGGATGAATGTAATAACTAAATACCACATAAAATGCTGACTTTCTGTTTACACTTAGCTACAGAAATATCTTTGTTTTGAATGTTATAGCCATAGAAAACAAAACACAGTTAAATATCTGGTCAATGAATGTAAAACCCATGGACATGTAAGTGTGTATCATGCATACATACATACATATATACATGCATATAGTCATCTGTTTGTATATGTGGGTTCTACATATAACTGATTTAAGCAACTACACTGGATAAGCTTTATTCCTTGTCATTATTCTCTACATAATACAGTATAATAAAAACTTGAATAGCATTTATATTGTCTTAAGTGTTTGTTAATGTTTGCTTGTTTGTTTATTCGTTTATTTATTTGGTACAGGGTCTTACACCACAGCTCAGCCTCGTAGTGATCCTCCTGTCTCAGCCTCTCCAGCACGTGGAATACAAGCATGTGTCACCACGCCCGGTTTCAGTGGCCAGCACAGCACTGGGCCATCACAGCATGGGGTACCAGGGATTGAACCCCAGTCCTTGCACTTGCCAGGCAGGCACTTAAGACTGCCGAGCTATCTCTCCAGCCTATCTTAAGTATTATAAATAACCTAAATATGATTTAAAGTGGAAGAGACGATGTGCATAGATTATACACCAACAATACACCATTTTATGTAAGAAACGTGAGCATCTGTACATCTGAGGATTTTGGTACAAGTATTAGGAGCAATTTCCTGAGGATACCAACAGATAGTAATGCACACTTATAATCCCAGCATTTGAGAGGCTGAGGCAGAAGAATCACAAGTTCAAAGCCAGCTTCATCTACATAGTGAGTTCAAGATCAGAAAGAAAAAAAAATACATATAAGTATATATTGAAATTGTGGACAGATATGACTGGTAATACTTAACAGCTAAAACTCCAATTTCAGATAGGGTAATTTTGAACCTATCTTCTTTAATTCTAAACCTTTAAATTTGTCATTACGAAGAAAAACAACACAAAAATTAGGAAATTTAGTAAAATAAATCTTGGACTGAAACACAGTTGTGTGACTGGATTGTATCAAGTACTCCCACACGCCATCTACCAGCCCTCCACTACAATCTGATACACACAGATGGAATCTGCACGTGTTCCTCCAATGCTAAAAGTACAGCAGCCAGAGTTCAGAAGCAGAAAAGACGTAATGATGCCTATGCCAAAAAAGAAGAAAAGTTGTGTGCGTCTCCAGAGGAGTCAGGCAGGGATTGGGGTGGGAGGGAGTTACAGTCCCTTGTATAAGAGCTTCCTAGATTTTACCTGTCCAATCCAAAGGCTTTCTTGGCTTAATCTTGCTGACTGGTATGACATGAAGTAATCAATAAATACAAAACTTAAAAGACCAATAATTTAATATGGAGGACCACCAAGATGGTGCTCCTTGAAAGAACAGTGTTTGGCTCCATTTTGGCTAAACCTGGCCCTATTTCTGTGTAGTGATATATTCAGATCTGGCTAGGATACTTCTTTATCTCCCTCAGTTGGCTTTCAGCAATGCAAATAGGTCTATCCAGGTGCTGCTGTGTATGCATGAGCTAGGCCTAGCGATGCCACACTGCCAGCCAGCAGACTGAGGCTGGACAAAGAATCTATGACATCTCAGGAAATGAGGATTACATATCAAAGCTGAGGAACTGACCCCCAAAACACAAGATACCCCCTCAAACTGGGTTACACAGAGTACTCCTTCCGTATCTCTTTCTCTGCACACCGCAGGGGTGCTATCTTGCCTGCCTCCTTTCTAGCCCACTCATGGCATTTCTGTACTTCCCACCATTCTCAGTCACATCCCCAAGCCACTGCCCTTTGCACAAATTAATAAAACCCAGGTTTGCCCCTTGGTCTAGCCATTGTTCAGGTTAGCCATTGTTCTGACTGGACTGAGGACCCCTTTGGGTCCCCACAACTACAAATAAACCTTAGTGTCTTTATTTTCACTGTGGGTTACACTGGAAGTGGTAGATTGGAATTACTTACTGGAATTCCATTAACTTTTCTCTGTAATTACAAATGTGGACTCCTCCAGACCACAACAAGGTCCAGAAGGGGTTCCTGTAATTTAACATTAGGAGCAGGTCTCAGAATGTGTTACTGTCCTGTTATTATACACCTTTTCTTATCCCCAGCAACCAGACACTAAGCGCTTTTACTATCTGCTCTTCGTCACCCTCCTACTGGATATAGATTTCATATGTGCATTGCCTCCCACTGCCAACAACATGCACTATCTAGCAAACCAGCTGATTAAGGATAAAACATATGATGGGACTAAAAGTCATCTAAAACCACAAGAGTCCCACCCTAAAGCATCACAGAGAGGGTAACTCATCTTGTGAGAAAGCAACTTATGAACTACTTCTGCAGCTCACAGCCTACCTTTTCTCCTCACAGGTCTCTCAGTCCTGCAGGACATCCAAAAACACACAGCTACATGTACTTTACCTATCTTAGCTTTCCAGAGGACAAAAGCTGCTGCTTTGGTCAGATGCGCAAGCAAATGTTTACCGAAAGAAAAACTAACCCATGACACAACAGTAACATTTTCATCTTTTAACTGCCGTGAATTTAACTTAGGTTTTGGGGATTTGTTCACTGGCCCTATGAAAAATATTCAAGAAGATGAAGAAGAAACTTGGACCCCTCCCCCCACACACACACACACTACCATCAACTTCCTCACAATCATTTGCACACACATGCACCTATTCTGATGTTCTAAACTGAGGCTGGTAATATTTATTATTATTAACCTCTACCTCCCTAATAATAACAAAAAACTTTATTAACATGTATTCCAAATGCATTTATCCTCTTTGGAGAAGTGAGAAGAAAATGGTTTATAATGAAAAAGTAATTAGAAGATCAACCCAAATTCAGTAAATGTTCTTTTAGTGCCCACTACATGCAAACTATTTTGCTGGGCACTTGGAGATGGTTGTTAGCATAACAGACAGCTGTTGCCCGAGAGAAACTTGCTGTTTGGCAAAAAGCAAACTGAACTCTATAAGGCAGGTTGCAATAATAAAGGTTCAAAGTGAACCTTAAATTGGGGGACTCTAGGAAGGTTTTTAGAAAGAAACAACTCTTTAAAAGATATGTAAGACCATGCCATATGCATACAGAAGAGGAAAAACTCTCTAGCCAAGAAAGGAGCGTAAGCAAAGGCCAGTGTCTCTAATGATTTTATATAGAACAGTAAACAAAGTGGCTTATTTTAAATGTATATTCTGAAGCTTCATTCTCAGGAAGTCAGTCCCATAGGTCTAGGATTAAGTAGCTAGCTTTATTTCTTTATAAGCACGTTGAGTTACTCTGATGCTGGTGTAAGTGCCTTGTTTGTTTTGGGGTGAGAAACTGGCAGTGGGATAGAAAGAACCATTAAACGGTAATCACCAACCTCTCCAAGTTTTAATCTTAACTA